GGGGGGGGGGGGGAGAATCCCCTAGCACTGTCCAGCATCACTCATAGGTACTTCACTACCCTGCTAGTAGAGATCTCCCCCCCCATTCCCCACGTCAAAGCTAAAATCCATTGGGATCCTCTTCCTCGTCAGAAGGATCACCTCCGTCTTCTCCCCGGCTAAGTGAAGTCCCGCTTCACTACACCAACTGGTGGCCACGTCGATAACCGCCCGAATCTTCGCCTCCATCACCCTAGCTCCCTGACGTTGAGAAGCACCGCCAGATCGTCCGCGAAAGCTACCACCTCCGCTTCCTTATCCCGATCCGGCATCTCCAGCACCCCGTCGTACACGAGATTCCACAGGAGCGGTCCTAAAACCGACCCCTACGGTACTCCCGCATAAACGTTCCTCCTTACGACACCGTTCCGGGCATAAAGTAGTATTCTCCTCTCGGCCAGGTAATCCTGCATAATCCCCAATAGCCGTCCTGGCAGCCGCCTCCTTACAAGCTCTTCCTTGATCTTCCTCCAACTCAACGTGTTGAAGGCGTTTTTCACGTCAAGGGCGACCATTACACACACCAGGCGCTTCCTCCTACACTCTTCCACTACCGCAACCGTCCTGTCCAAGGCCTCGATGGTTCCTCTTTTCCTCCTGAACCCATACTGGGAAGGGATCCCATCCGATGCTCTTTTCCATGAGCATCTTAATCGTGTGCTCCCAGACTTTGCTCAACGCCGGCAGTATACTAATCGGCCTATACGCCGAAAATGTCGTCATATCGCGGCCGGGTTTAGGTATCAACACAGCCCTGGCCTCCTTCCACACTGCCGGTATCCTTCCTCTCCTATTAATGCCGTTGAGCATGTCCAGGAGCACCCCCGGTCTTCTCGCTGCTAACACTCTTATCACCTCGCCAGGGATCCCTTCCACTCCAACGGCCTTCTTCGGGTTGCATCTCCCGACGGCTATCATCATTTCTCCTTCCGTTATCTCCAACTCTTCATCCCCGCCGTCGGGCGATGCAATCGGTGTATCTCCTACAAACTCTTCCTGACCATGCGGTCGCAATATGGGCCTGGTGACGAAGAAGTCGTCCAGGATCCCCGCCACTCTTTCCTTTCCAAGGGGCTCATCTGGTGTAAGCTGCATCAATTTCTTCCTGATCACACGATACGGCCTGCCCCACGGATCATGATCCAATGTGGCGCAGAACCCCTTCCAGCTCTCCTCCTTACTTTGTTCAATCGCCCTCTTCAAACGCCTTCTCGACTCCTTAGACTCGGCTACCAGAACCGCCGCCTCCTTCTTACGGGCCGCCACCGCTCGCTGGGCTCTTCTTCTCGCTTTGTGACTCGCCTTCCTCAGCTCAGCGATCTCCTCGTTCCACCAATAATTCATTCTTCTTCTTCCTAGTGCCGGGTACCTGTTTTTCAATTCTGCGGCACACGTGCGCTCCAGACTCTTCTGTAATCGCTCCCTGCATGCCGCTTCGTCATAATTACAAACCTCGTCATTGTAAAACTCGTCAAATCTTTCCAGAAATTTGTCCGCCTCCATATTCTTCGTCGCGAATTTGTACGCCCCACCAACCACCCGCTTAACACCACTCGCAAACACGTGCATTATATAAAAATGGTCAGAGGCTGAGTACCAATCCAGAACGGTGCTCTTCCTCCAATCCAGCACCATTCGTCTACTAATACACAATATATCCGAGAAACTAGTCCTTCCATTTCTCAGAAAGGAGTAGTTTCCCGTCGTCCTTACCGGCAGTAACTCTCTTCTTGTGATCACGTCCAGCAGGCATGTTCCCCTCCATTCCGTCCTATTGCCACCCCATACTCTCGCCTTGGCGTTAAAATCACCGGCAACCATCCTCCCCTCCTTCAGAACACAATCCAATTCCGCCAAGTAGGCATCAAATCCATGCCTAGTCGTGTTTGGGGAACAATACGCACTGACGCAAAACACATCACCGACCCTAACGCCTACAATCCCAGTCTTACGGACCAGGGTCTCGCTGATCGCGTGTCTGCCGTTGAGCAGGGTGACCCATATGGATGCATCCTCGCCCTCGTCATTAAACCACCACGACAATTGCCTATAGGGCTCAGAGATGACCACAATGTCCACCCTGCTCTCACACACATACTGCATCATCAGGTCTTGCGCAAGCCTGCACCTATTTAAATTAATTTGTAACACTCTAATTGCGTCCCCGTCTGAAGCTAATAATACCAAGGCGTACCACTGGGCACGCCAACGAACCGGTTATGTGCCTGACATTCGCTCCTCCCATCTTCACGCACATGGCACATGTTGGCTCACTGGTGCACTCGCTCATGACGTGCTCCGAGCTACCGCATTTCCTGCAGAGCTCCCTCCCGGCACTGTACACTGTACACCTTGCCTCCACTTGCCCCAGCATGTGGCATCTGAAGCAGCGCTGTACGTTACTCAGTTGCCTTATGGAAGCAACTGTCAGCTCTTCCTCCTCCTTCTCCTCGCTTTCTGCTCCCCACACTGTTCTAAGGAGGACAGGATACCCTTTATCACGTTCCTCGCCAACTGCACCGGTGGCCCTTTCCTAGGTATCACAGGCGTGGTGAAGTCGCTGTCCCTTACACCGTAGGAACCGTCCAACTCCTCCGCCACCTCCACCTGAGCTCTACCTCCAATCGTCGGGCTTCTCTGGAGCTTCTCTTCTACTCTCTTCTCCCTCGGGATTACCGATATGGTGATATTCTCATTCAAGCTGATATCCGCCACCTTCCTCGGCTTCTCCCCACCTAGTGATAGCTTCCTCGTCTCTCCTTCCTTATCTCCTTTCTCCCCGGTAGCAATTACCGTACGAGGGGATGCCCGAGGATCCACCTCCCCCCGCCGTTCTTCCAGTCGCATGATGACCGTCGGGTCGAACCTGGGAAGCTACTCGAACTCCCGACGGGGCCTGGGGGCTGCGAAACCCCCTGCGCCGTAAGTTTCAATCCTTTTCTCGTCTTATCCATATTTATTATAATTGTAATTTATCGTCCATGTGAATCGCCAGGTCGTCAACATCCCGTTGTAAGCCATCCAAACATATCCAAACATAGCCAATAAACTCGCCGTGTCGTCAACAAGTTAGCAGTCCGGCATAATAAATAAATAATAATAATAATATTAAGGTCCAACTAACCTTATTGTCACTATTTAAAACAGTCTACTAACTAAATTATCCATTAATTAGATTGTCAACATCCCGTTGTAAGCCATCCAAACATATCCAAACATAGCCAATAAACTCGCCGTGTCGTCAACAAGTTAGCAGTCCGGCATAATAAATAAATAATAATAATAATATTAAGGTCCAACTAACCTTATTGTCACTATTTAAAACAGTCTACTAACTAAATTATCCATTAATTAAAAACCATTAATGAAACTGATCATATCTACGAATAAATAAATAAATAAACACAAAATCCATACACATCTAGGTGCAGGGCATCGTAGTGTCCTCAATAAATATAATAAATATAATTATATAATCTTAAAGATTTACAATATTCAAGCTAACTAACGCCTGCGCTTCGATAAGAGACCCGACGATGCATACGCAGATCGCCACACGCATAACTAGATATATAGTACAAAACGATATACAATCAACTGGCTAAATAAATAAGTAAATAATAATAACTAAATAAGCTAAATAATAAATAATAAATAATAAATAAATAAATAACCAGCATAACCAATAATAAATAATAAATAGATAGATAACTCAACAAATAAATAAATAAATAAATGAATAAATAAATAAATAAATAAATAAATAAGCCAGTAGCATCTAGTTAATAAATAAATCGAAAAATATAAGTGGGAATGCATATACCTGCATACCCCAACCTACACAACATGGCAAAACTCAAATAAAATAAAAACCTCCACGTGCGCAGCACCCTTCATATTTATTTATTCTCATTTATCCACTTATTTCCCACGGAAGTTCGGCTCGAGTGGCGAAATAAATAGAATAAATAGAACAAATAATCTAATATAATGAAATACGGTATATAATTAGAACTCTGGCCGACCCGATTTTATTTCTTCCTAATAGGAACTTAAGTCGAGCCAGCCGTACATAGTCTAGTGTGCTGCCCGTAAGGTGGCGACGCCACGCATCGGCGCGACGAACTACCTCGCCTGCGCATCGCTCGGCTCCACACGTGCATCCTGCCGCTACCATTAATAATGGCGTCAGATCTATCCATGTGCACGTCTCGATATTAAAGAAAAACGCGTATTTCTCGTATTTCACGTTGTCGTGCAACGCGAGTGCAACATCACATCCAGTGATGCTCGATAACCATTCTTACACGCCGTTGCGTTCGAATTACCAACTCTACGACGAATAACCTACCAGTAAGTACCGTGTCTATACGTGTATACGTGTGTGTTCGTAATTAATAAAAATAAAATAATAAATTGTCACAATATATCGATCCAATACCACGTGAATAAAGGTCCCGCGACGCGTGAATATCTTACTTAAACGTCTCTTCTTATGATATTTACTTATAATGATAGTGACCGCGCCAGATAACCTCCATTCCCAAACAGAGAATGAATGGGAGAATGACAGCCGAGCCACACGCGAAATGGAGCGTACTCTCTAAATGCACGCAGCCTTCGTATTTTAACAAAAACATGCAGTGTAAGTAAGTATACGTAAGTAATATTATTACTACTTACAGCCCTCCGCATAACCTTATCCGTCCACTGCATCGCATATCGAGCCACACTCCTCCAGCACACTCCTCCTGGCAGCACTAAAACTGCCAACCTCACGATCACTAGAAACACCACTGAGATCACTGTAGAAGCCACCTGCATAAGTTTTGTCAGAGACCAGGCTACGTCGCTAAAAAATTTATGTGCTCTATCTTAACTCGTACCAGCTCACGACACAATTATCGACAAGATTTACCCTGCCTCTAGCAGTAAGTACTACCCTCTTATATAACTATGCATAAAAACAAATAAATATAACTACACTATGCCTAATTTCAATTACTTAAATATATATAAATAAATAAAGTAGATAAAACAACATAGAAATAAAATAAAATAAAATCTCCACCTACAGGGTTTAAAGAACAACAACACCATCTCAATTCAATTTAATAAGCAGTATGAACCACCAGTCACAATACCCTTTATTCTATATTATTACAGGAATCGCCACCTCCTTACAATATCACTGCTTCATAGAAGCAGTCAAGGTAAAATACAAAAGACTTAAAACTAGTCAGTCGCTGTAAGTACACTATAATCGCTTAATCTAAAAATAGCCTATTCCATTATAAAGTATCTACTAACTATCCTTATAAACACCCTTTTACTGTCATTTAATATAAATAATGTAAATAATGTAAGGTAGCCACCTGTCACAATAATCCTCGTTATATCCTATTTCAGGTATCACAACCTCCTTCGCAGTATACACGCAGCCTCATATACCAGGTTCGTCCCACTCGTTCACTTATGAATAAGAATACAAGAACACTTAAACTAGGCAGTCTAGTAAGTAGAACTAAAACTCTTAATCTAGAAATTACTCTGTCGCATGTATAAAATTAATGATACTATAACTAATACGAAATTCCACCTCCCAATATAATTCTTTGTTTCTACCTACAAATCGAGAACTCAATTGCACATCCCATCGCCTTCTTTATCAAAACTTTACCTCATAAGGGTACGTACTTCTTCATTATATACTATATTAATACATGGGATAAATAATCATCTAATCGTCTAAGAGTCGTGATAACTAATCGACAGCTCGTTTCTTTATTTACAGATGACGACTCATCGACTCTACACTAAAGCACCATAAAAACCTTATCACAACCATCTATAAAGGCCAATAATTATACCTACAGCATGCTCACCTATCATACTAAATAACACTAAATCTCTATCATACCGTGTAAATAGTCCATTGTTAAAAATAACAGTAGATATTACAATGAGATACACATCATGACGATCGTTCATAATCTATTTCAGATATCGAATCACATTCACCTATCATTACACAATCCAGGAACTAACTCCCTCCAACTCTAGAAAGTAAGTACATCCTGCTATATACAAAACTAAGTAGTACTTCAAATATTAATAAATAGGATAAATACTAATCGACAACTCATTTCTTTATTAACAGATAACAACTCGTCGACTGACAAGAACAACATAACCTACAAACTTCGAACTATATCCCTTCACAACGAGGCATTTTATAACTTTTTCCCGCACTTCTCCGTTCTAAACTGCAACGCCCCTTGTAAACAACACCACTAGATACACACCTACAATAAAGATATAATAAAAATATAATCCTACACTCACATAATTTATCCAACCGCAATAATTTATCCAAGCACACATCCCACTTATGAAAATTGTATTTTACACACACTCCAACCACATTTAATCATTCCCGCAGTCCCAGCAAACTCAACATCCCCTTCGTTTTGTATTATATAATGTAAACATCATCGTCCTAACCGCCTATAACCTAGACTAATAATTTTCTAATTTTCCCATATATTAGTTACAGGCAGCTAAGACACTCCACTTATCGATATTCACGCGTCACCGTCGCCTTATTGTCCACTAAAAGGGGTCAAAAACCTAACCGCCTCTTCCGAATTTATTATCATAATCTAGTCATCGTCCGTTACACTACTAACATTTATTTATTACAGCGTCACTCCACCACTCTCTTACATAATTATTTCCACTCTATCGCACTTGCTACTCATTTTTATATTACTACGAACACACACCTCACATTTTTATACCGAAAAAACGCGACATAAAATTCACTTAGAGGGAACGCGCCGAAACACGTCTTCTCCCTACGACGTCCCGAGCCGAACATCGATAGACATCGATCTGGAAGGTTTCAATAAATAAACCTGGAAGGTTTCAATAAATTGTGCTCTTTTAGCCACACGTTGCCAAGCTTTTCTTTTGCGAAGTCAGCCACTCCTTGTCCCTGACTTCTAAGCTCAGCCCATTGCTTCACGCGTTCATCCTTAAATCTCTTGCTGGCCTTCTCAATGTCCTCTGAAGTAGCCGGCCAATTAATCCTCAGTGAGTTGGCAATTTTCTTTAACTTCTTATCTGTGTTCTCGCCGATCAAGCTCGCTGCCGCTGGATACATTGATTCTTTTATTTTTGACGCGCTCCTTAGGGTACCGAGTTTTACTATATGCTCAAATCTCAATAACCCTAGACCTCCATAATTTCTAGGGGCGTAAAAGAACCCGGTAGCAGTTAATTGTACTAAGTGCAGAATTGATTTAATCTCCTGTCTGACCTCGCTATCCATAAGTTTTACAACACCGTCTCCTGGTGGATTTATTAAAAGCTGGTAAATAAATCGAGGGAAAATATATTTTGTTAATAATTCTATTTTCTGGTATGGTTTCAAGGAGAGTTTGCGGTCTCTCCTCACCATGCTCAGGATTTCAGGCACAGCTATGCCACAGTGGACGCCTTTCCAGGGCCTAATCTTTGCGCCCAGATACCTGAATGCTTCCTCTGGGTTCACGTCTGGTATTTTATCTGAGCCAATTTTGATGTCTGGGTCCTTGATGAACCAGGTGTCCTTTTTTGTTACCACCTGGAATGTTTGGCTCTTATCTATTGATATTCTCATTCCCAGACTATCCAGGTATCTGTGGAGCTCGTCCACTGTGCTTCCCTCTCATCTTCACCAAGTAATACGATATCATCGACGAAGGCCAGCACAGGGATTTTACTTCTTTCGTTAATAATAACACCACCGGTCTTTGTGTTTATTCTTTCTAAAAGCGGCTCGAGGCACAGATTGAATAACAGTGGTGACAACGGGTCACCCTGCTTAACCCCTCTGAGGACTTCGATCTCGACCCCTATATTATCCTTTGCCTTTATAGTTGTTCTGCATCTCGTGTACATCTCGACAATTATGTTGATTATACTGGTCGGTACGCCTTTCCGCACCAGGCAAGGTCTTAATGCCGAATATGGAATTGAATCGAAGGCTTTGGAGATGCCCACAATTGTGAATACCCCTCCTCGATTTCTTTTACAATGATCAAGAGCTGCATTCATGAGTTCTATATTCAATTTACATCCACTTTCGGATGTAAATCCTTTTTGCCTTACATTCTGAGTAATACCACTCCGGAGCCGTCCATCGAGAATCGACGAGAACATTCTACTCAGGACAGAACTGATGGTAATTGGTCACCAATTCTCAACACTGCTAGAATCTTTATTGGGCTTTGATATTAACGTAGTCCTATTCTGCTTCCATAGGATTGGAAAATAGGAACTAAACCATAGCATGTTGAAGAATTTGGCGAGTATTGCGGACAGGCCTGGTATCAATAAATTTTCTTTTAGTAACCCATCTGGACCTGCCGCAGACTTCTTCCTGAGTTTCTTAATCCTTTTTTTTGCGCGAGGAGGGGAAAATGCATTTACGCATACCCAGCGACCCGCGTCACCAGGTTATGTGGGACTCCAGGTGACATCGTCATACCCACTAAAAACCTCTCCTCTTTCCTCTGATTTGTTAGACACGAACAACCCCAGCAGAGCCGATCAGCATTCATCAGGGTTGTCCTCAACCGTGTCGCCCCATATTATCGTCGCGTACTGGTGCCGCCCCTCCTATTCGCAGACTCCATCGCCTTCTCCATATCCCTTCTATATCTCATTATGCCCTTGCAAAACTCACTGAACTTCCTCTAGTATTCATCCCTGGTGACTACGGTGTCCACCAGGTTGTCCACACATATCCTGATTCCCAGGAAGTTCTCTAGCTCGGTTCTTCTGTCGATCCACCTAGGGCACGCGAATAAGACATGCTCGGCGTCATCATTCGGGTATCCACAGTCCCAACACTTCGTGTCGACCTCTTTACCGATCCTCTTACGGTAGCTGTTGAAAATGCCGTGTCCCGTGAGTATTTGCATCGTGAAGTGATCGATGTCACTTCTATTCCTGGCGAATATGGTCGCATTGCTTATTAATCTCCTGGTCACATTATCTCTATTATACATGCTCCATTCCGCTTGCCACTCCGTTGAGGCCTTCTTCTTTACTTCCTCCAGATCTTCCTTCTTTTCCGCCTGCCTCTCAATCATCTCCTCTCCAACAGTTGAGGTCTCATGAATCTTCTTTCTCTCGTATATCCCCTTCAACATTCGCACTTTGATGTAAATCGGTAAGTTCCCGGTCAATACACAAAGCGCCGCGTGGGATACGGTGCGGTATGCACAGGGCAATTCGTTGCGCCCTTTTTATGATTTTGTTTTTCGCATACTTCATCGCATCAGCCCACACAGGCGCACCGTATGTTATTATGGATTCCCACACGCTATAGTATAGCCTTCTTGCCAAACCAGGCGGGCCCTTAATATTCGGTAGGATTCCTCGTAATGCTCCTATCTTGATTCCCGCTTTATCGCACACCGAGGCAATGTGCTTGTCAAATTTCCCATTCGTGTCTATCATAACGCCAAAATATTTCGTGGCCTCTACCGTGTTGATAGCCACGCCGTCCACATTCAAGCCTATAACTTTGGGCACCCTCATGCCCGTAATGAGGATCACTTCCGTCTTCTCCTTAGCCAGCGTCAAACCCACTCTTGCACACCAATCGCACACTGTTCTCATGACCTCCCTTACTATTCCGCTAACTCCTTCGTTTTTATTCACAGCGCATGCGATTGCCAGGTCATCTGCAAACGTGACCACCTTAAACATTACCCTGCTATCTAGCCTTTCCAATAACCGATCGTAGACTATGTTCCATAGGAAAGGCCCCAGCACAGATCCTTGCGGTACCACAGCCGCAACCAGATACTCCACCGTACCAAACTGGTTGCTGACGATTATCCTCCTATCCGTCAGGTAATTTGTTACCAGTCTAATGATCTTGCAAGGCAGCTTCCTTCTGGTCAGTTCGTCAATAATGCTGTTTCAACGAAGGGTGTAGAATGCATTCCTGATGTCCAACGCAATCATCAAGCATACCATCCTATTCTTCTTGCAGGTGTCCGCGAATTCGGGTGGGATCACAGATGAAGTATCTGGGACTCACCATCGACAGCCAGTGGACGTTCGAGCCGCACTTCGACTCACTGATCCCGAAGGTGTCAGCGGCTGCTAATGCCCTGTGCGGCCTACTACCGAACATCGGCGGGACCGGAGACGCGGTGCGCCGATTTTACGAGGGCGTCGTTCGGTCACGAGTGATGTACGGGGCCCCAGTATGGGCGGACGACCTGATGATGGCAAGCCGTCGCAGCATTCTGCTCCTGAGAAGGCTGCACAGAGTGACCGCCATCAGAATAACGTGACCACCTTAAACATTACCCTGCTATCTAGCCTTTGTTCCACGATAACCGATCGTAGACTATGTTCCATAGGAAAGGCCCCAGCACAGATCCTTGCGGTACCCCAGCCGCAACCAGATACTCCACCGTACCAAACTGGTTGCTGACGATTATCCTCCTATCCGTCAGGTAATTTGTTACCAGTCTAATGATCTTGCAAGACAGCTTCCTCCTGGTCAGTTCGTCAACAATGCTGTTCCAACTAAGGGTGTTGAATGCATTCCTGATGTCCAATGCAATCATCAAGCATACCATCCTATTTTTCTTGCAGGTGTCCGCGAATTTAATCACCTGTGTAATCGCGTCCACCGTACTCCTTCTTCTCCTGAACCCATATTGCCCCCTATGAAATGGGTCCATTCCCATAGATCTTTCGATAATCAACATGAGACATTTCTCCCACACTTTGCTCAAGGCCGGGAGTACACTTATTGGGCGGTAAGCATTAGGGAGCTTAGGGTCCCTACCCGGTTTACTGAGCAATATGACTCTCGCTGTTTTCCAGCATCCCGGGATCCTACCAGAGTCTGTAATACTGTTAATCACCTTAGTGATAAGCTCTGTTCGGTTGTATACTAGCAGCTTAACAGACCCCATCTATTCCCACCGCCTTTTTTCCATTTATTCTACCAATGATTTTTTTTAACATCCTCCCCCTCAAACTTCGTGTTATAGGTGATATCCTCCCTGTCATGCTCTTCGACCTCCCTTAGCTCCGGTCTGCGTCCTATGATGAACAAGCCTTTTAAAATTTCTTTCACCTTGTTAACAGGCATGTCATTTGGAAGTCCTTTCTTGCTACATCTGTTCATAATCGTGCGATACGGCTTTCCCCGCGGGTCCCTTTCTAGTATTTCACAGAATCCGGCCCAGGTTCTCTTTTTACTCTCAGCTATTTCATTCTTCAGCTGTCTTCTTAATCCCTTGTAGTTACTAATATGGGCTTCGATCCCACTGTCCTCCTTCTTCTAGGAGACTTCTTCATCGTCGCGTCGTCGCCAGCGGCGGGCCCGTAGGTACTGTCTTCGGGCCCGGACGCATCTCTCCCTCAGCTCCGCGATGTCAGAGTTCCGCCAGTAGACTGCCCTGCTTCGCACCGTGTGGCACGTGGCATGGATGCGTCGCAGATTGCTGTCATGGCTCGGCGTAGGTTCTCGGCCTTCTCTTCCACGTCTGTTTCGGTTGTCGTCGTCGGGGCCTCCCAGCTCCAAGCTGTTGCTATGGCAGCCGCCCGGAGTAGATCCCCGTTCATCTCCTTAACCTTCCATCTTGGCGGTGGGCGTGCGTGTCCTTTTCTCGACGGGCCGCGACCATCGCCTGTAGTCCACGTTCGGGATCCAGGTGTGTCTGCCTCCATGAATATGTAGAAGTGGTCCGAAAGTGTCTCGACCCCTTCAGCTACTCTCCAGCCTGAGATCCTTCTGAATGCATCGAGGCAGGCCCATGTGATGTCGACGATGGAGCTCCCTCTCCACGCCACGCAGGTACGGGTCGAGCCCCTATTCACCAATAGAAGTCCAAGTCCCGCGGCCCAGGTTGACAGCGTGCGGCCGCGCGCGTTGGTCCTAGCGTTCCCCCATTCCGTGAAGTGCGCGTTGAAGTCTCCTAGGACGAGTACTTTCCGGGGAAGTCGTCGCCTAACGCAGTCGCTAACCCCGTCCAGGAATTCCTCGAACGCTGCCCATCCGCTGTTAGGTGACGCGTACACTCCCACCACCCCCATCCCTGCCCACTCGACCGCGACGTATCCGTTGCCGCGCTCCAGCAGGGCTCCGTGGGCGAACGCCCCCGGCGTTGATGTCCAGGTGACAGCAACCATTTCATCCGTATCTCCGACCCATTCCGGAGAATCCAGAACTCTGTATGGTTCTGCCACGAACGCTAGGGCGACCGTGCTTTCCCGAATGGTTTGATAGAGCAGGTATTGCGCTCGCCTTGACCTTCCCAGGTTAGTCTGGAGGATGCGCATTTTCAGTCCCTTAGTGTCGTCACTTCTATGGCTTCCTCCGTGCCAGCTTCTTTGTTCACAGGCGTAGGCTCTCCTTGCGACGGGGAGCCTTTCTCGTTGTCGCTTGCAGCTGTGGATCCGCGAGTGGCTCCTTTTGTTCCTTTCTTCGGAGGGCGGGGGCAGGCTGGTCCACCCATCCTGTGCACAGATGGTGCTTCAAGTGCCTCGCAGAGCAGGCTCCCGGCAGTGCATGCTTTCGCTTGGTGCCCTGGTTTTCCACATCTGTAGCATAGGTGCCCCTTGTCCTCCTTGGAGGTGCAAGTCTTGCTTACGTGTCCAATCTCCAGGCACTTGTAACACTGTAAAGGTCTTCGCTCGATGGCTTCAACCTTCGCTGTCGATCAATCTATGGCGACCTTGCCAGCCTGGGCCAGTTTCCTCACTGCACCTGCCGGGATTCTCCATGCACCTGGAATCTGGGAAACGGGACCAGCCGTCTCTAAACGCGGCAAGCGACGACGGCCTGGTATACCGCCGCATATTCGTCATGGACAGGGACTCGAAGATCTCCTTCCTAGTGGACACCGACGCCGATACATGCGTATACCTGCACAACAAAATACACGGACCCGCGAACAGAAGCGAGTACGAACTGTTCGCGGCCAACGGGACGCGGATCGCGAAATACGAGATCATCGGATTCGTGGAAGAAAGCCTTCGTTAGGAAAGTGAGGGAAATGGGCGTTGCTGTTAATTGGTTAATCTCTAGGTTGGTGGTTGAGGAAGAATGCTAACTGCTCTCAAGAGAAAGTTGCTAGCGGGAAATATCGTACGTGAGAAAAACCAGATTTCCCGTATCTTTCCGTAGTAGATAATAAATTTAGGGAATACTAAGACAAAGACTATTTGTTCGTTTCAAGAACCTTAGCTAAAGAAATCCTAAGATTTATACCGGGTCCTTAAGCTAGTTGCAAGTATACTATGAAAATGTTTCGACATCTGGCAATCATTTTGTCCGAAGGATAGGGTCTACAGTGACGAGCAAAAGTGTAAACACACTCCGCTGATTTTATGTTAAAGGCGATACTACGACTAATTTTTCAAGTGATCGGTAAAGATTAGGTACCAGTAACTACAAGATACGTCTGTTTAACGAAATGTAGTGGTTCATTTTCATTAACATTAATAATGTACAGAATATTTTATAATAATTGTGTTTTGGAACAATGTTTACAGTTTTGCACGTTTCGTCAGAAACGTTTATGATAGCATGTAAATGTCAATAATCAATAAGGGAAACGAAACTGTCAATAAGCACTGATTGTCCACTGTTTCGCAGTCAACTGTTCCACACCATTGCTAGATTAGTTTTCAATTTGATATGCTTAATCCAAGATAAAGCCACTTAGTGAAGATAAAAAGAACAGTATTATTTGTTTGTGTGATAAAGGTTTATCGTTGCGGCAAATTGCAGAGAAATGTGGTGTCAGTCATACGATAGTTGCAAAAATAAGAAAAAAGTATGTTGCCCTCGAAAACTGGAACTATTTCTATGACACATTCTCATCCACAGTGGACCGCAATGAAAATCTAACAACGGTCCAAAAGTTCCAACATCTTCGATCATCCATAACTGGAAGGGTCACACGGAGTATCCAATCATTGGAACTCACAGAAGCCAATTACTCGATCGCTCTTAACACGTTGAAGGAGAAATTTGACTGTCACCTCAGGATCTGTATGCGTCATTGGGAGTTGATACGCAATTATCCCGAAATGAAGAAGGAAACTCCAGAAGCCATAGAGGATTTGCTGGAAACCGTCAGCGTAAATCTCAAGGCGTTCGAAAAATTAGGTGAGCCTGTAACATCAAATGTGATGATTATCGAGTTGCTCGCGTCGAAATTACCTTCGTCCAGCATGCGTAAGTGGCAGCGCACATTACCAAACAAAAGAGTGCACTCCTACCAACATCTGATAGATTTTCTGCAAACACGCGCAAACGGAAATCAACTCCTCTCTGAAGTAAAGGAGACAGAAGGGTCAACCCATAAACATGACCGTCACCGACAAAACGTACCGCATGAGCGAACCTTCACTACAACCAGCAGGACGTTGGTGTATCTGACCTGCAAAGGATCCCATGAAATAAAACACTGTAAGGTCTTCAAAACTAAATCGGCAACGAAATGTTTTCAAATCGTAAAAAGGGCATCGCTATGTACAAACTGCCTAGGCAGAGGACATTCGCTTACACAATGTACAGCGGGTTCGTGTCATATATGCGGGCAACGCCATCATACTTACCTACATGGAGAACAAACTCAAGTCATTTCACGGTCGTCGAGCGGTCGGTCGTCGAGCAGTGTTGTCGAGCAGTCGGTCGTCGAGTAATCGGTCGTTAAGCGGTCGATCATCGAGCAGTCGGTCATCGAGTCGGAGCAAAAGTGACTAAACGAACAGACTACAAAAAAGGAGACCGAGTTAATAAATACCTCTCCAAACGTCACACTGCATCATGATCTGCTGGTCACAGCAAAGATCAATGTTTTAAACAAAAGGGCATTACCAATCCGAGCCAGAGCTTTGCTAGACACTGGATCTAGTATGAATTTCGTGACTGAGAAATTCGCAAACTCCCTCGATATGAAACGAAGGAGATGTACGGTCCCAATCGGTGCCCTCGACAACTTGACTACGATCGCGAAGAGCCGGATAACGGCAACCATTGCTTCTATAGATGGCAAATATGAGCGTATAGTAACATTCGTGATAATTCCGACAATATCACCACTAGTTCCAGATCAACCAATCGATCGGTCCGCAATCCAGATACCCAAAAATCTAAGATTAACCGACCCAGCATTCCACAGACCAAGCCCGATTGAAATATTATTAAGCTCGGGACCAACTTTAGTATCATTATGTGTCGGGCAGATCAGAATTGTGTTTGCAAAAGACTCGATTCGGTTGGGTTATCGGGGAGCCCACCCGCCCAATCGGATATACACTCTTTTCACGCTACCACAACCGACATACAAGCGGATCTCGCACGTTTTTGGGAAATCGACGAGGGACCACCCACCATACATTTTTCAGAATCGGAAATACAATATGAGGAAACCATGTCCAACGAAACAAGGAAGGGCGATACATCGTCGCCCTGCCATTCAACGAGAAGCTTCCCACGTTTGGGACGTCAAGGTCCGTTGCAATGAATAGGCTCGCCTCTCTCTATCGCCAATTCCAACGCGACAAGCAATTCGAAACCGCGTATAGTACAGTGATCCAAGAGTATTTAGACTTGGGTCACATGACGAAGATTACGAATAACCGTCCCTCAAACAATTGTTATTACTTGCCGCATCACGGTGTGATAAAGGAATCGAGTGATACCACTAAACTTCGGGTTGTGCTCGACAGGGAGGGAGTCTCCCTCAACGATACTCTGTATACAGGACCTAAACTACAAGATCTGGTTGAAATTCTATTGAGATTCCGATCACATCAATATGTCCTAACGGGTGACATTGAGAAGATGTATCGACAAATCCTAGTACGTCCAGAAGATCGGAAATATCAACTGATTCTATGGCGTAATTCCAACGGGGAAGTCGAAACATATCAACTCAACACCGTGACATTCGAACTATCGGCTGCCCCATACTTAGCCATACTTAGCCCTACGATGCCTAAAACAGTTAGCAGACGACGAAAGACATCGATTCCCGCAAGCATTATCGGTTGTACAGCGTGATTTCTATGTCGACGGCGCCCTCACCGGGGCCGATACAAAGGAAGAATTATTATCGGTAAGACACGAACTCACGGACCTTCTCAGATCGGCCGGCTTAAACATCCGGGAATGGGCATCCAACGATACGGACATACTGCGAGGAGTATCCGAAAGAGACACAAATTGAAGACTACAATTGGGTGAGTCATAAACGTTAAAAATATTAGGTATTTATTGGAATTCCCAGGACGACGCAATTCTTTACTCAGTTGAACCTACAGCGACCACCACTCGTGTCACAAAACGATCAATTAGTTCGGTGATAGCCCGAATTTATGACTCACTAGAATTGCTCGCGCCAGTGATTGTCAGAGTAAAAATCCTACTTCAACGCGTCTGGACATTAAAAATCGGCTGGGATGAATCCGTTCCAGCAGAGTTGCATAAGTGTTGGAAATAAAAACCTTATAACCCTGTGAATCACAGTGTTATATTAACTTAATCACCCTTATTATCTTAACGGAAATCAGGGGATCGATCAACTCGTGATGTCGATTATTATAATCGTAACGGGAATTTACGACTCCCGTTGACGTATTTCCTCGCGATTGCGTCTCCCCGCGATTGGACGAAAATACAGATCCCTTTCGAAGTAAGCTGAAATCCAGTAGATTTATCTAGGTGCATTTGACATAAAATAAGTAATGTTTTATTTTTTAATATGTAGAGTTTTATATAAAGAGGATGTAGGTGCATGAGAATTAATAACGAGATTAAAGATTACTTGTTGTTGTTGAATATATTTCAATCGATAAATTAGTACACGGTCGTAAACGCGAGTCGTTGGTGCGAAGTATAGTCGTAAAATATAATCGCGAAATAAATACTCGTAAAGGCCTGTCGTGTAACTTGATAAACGCTCGTAAGATATTCAGAAAATACTCTTGATGCTGCTAGATACACAATATGTGCTCGATATGTACTGTCGTTCGCGATTGTGTTCGTTTATTTATACTGGTCGGGGGAGAGTCGGAAAATTGAAACTCGTCTTGATTCGACGGTTGCATGTAGCGGTGACATTTGTCGTTATGTTTCATGCGTCAAGGCTAAGGCGTCGTCCTTTGATTCCTGTGCCGCTACAAATAGCTGGCTTCGAACATAAGAAGAAACCTACTAGTATCGATTTAAATACATTGTAGTTATGTTTCCAAGCTTTCTAAGGGGAACACAGAAAGAAATGTTCAATATATCATTACCATCAGTGGTATCTGTTTCTATCGTTCGCGGAGAGACGCGATCTCGAAGAAGCGCGTCAACGGGAGTCGTAAATTCCCGTTACAATTCAAATAATCGACGCCACGAATCGATCGATCCCCTATTTCGATTAAGATAATGGGAGTGGTTGAATGTGTATAACGCTGATATTAACAGATTATAATCTATATATTTTAAACAATAACTTCAATATTTGATACAATTGTATGTATGTTGACTGTCAAACTACGAGTGAGTACGAAAATACTTACAGAATTAAAGATTCCGTTAAAAGGATTCTGTTTATAGTGCTTCCTTAGGTTTATTGAGGGTCTGAATAACGGTGCGTGGGCCTTTGACAGTCAGACAATGAAGAACGGCGCACAGGTATCAGGACATAACAGGTATCTGACCCTATATTTGATAAAAGCATGTTTCAGTTTATTATATTTTATATTTCGCTTTGAAAGAGAATCAGTTGTTTAATTATACTTTAAATATCTAACTATTTCAGCGGTAATGTCAGGTCTTGTGATGTGGGAGCTCAGTCGCTCTAATATGCCGGTGGCTAGTGGTACGAAAAAGATTTTATTATACGAGAAGATGGAATGCAAGTTAGATTTTCCAGGGAAAAGGGCGGATAAATAGTTTAGGAAAGATTCGGTGATTTAGAACTCACTCGTGTACGTAAACAGGTATGTACAATTTTTAACGTTTGCGTAGAATATTACGCATTTTATATATTCTACATCTTTGTTGAGTTAATTTAATAATTTGATTTATGTTTATAAACAACAAAAGTACACAGGACACCCACATATAGCACGCAACCGGTGCAAGTTTTATCAACTAAGTATATCAACTAAGATCTTCGAATGCTGCGAGAAGTAAACCGTTACCTTTTTAGATGTATCCTGTCGATGCAAGTATCACCATAATCGCTTCTCCACAAGCGCAATCTAGTATCCAAACGTTGAGGCAATTCAATGCTTTTGTATAGCTATTGTTTAAAACGTAACACAGCTTGAACAATTTCAATACGTAATACAAGCCACAAGTATTGCCAGATTGTGTGTCACCAATGGAGTACAGTCCATACGACTCAGTACTTACTCAATCATAACCATCAATGTAATATCAATCAACAAGCAGTCATAACGTATAACCGGATCATCAACTGGAACGTATGTGCAACAATTTCCATATATAGATGACATATCACAAATACAGTCGCAAGAAAAATTAATGTTATACAGGGTAACACAAACCTATAACGAAGGATTTTATTGTAGATATGTATAGCAGACAGAATAATTTTGACTTGGGCCTGAATCAACTTCTTTCGGCAAAACTCGTCGATTTTGAAATTGCTCTTTCTGAACATCCATCCAGAGGATTATCCATTTCAGATTCTATCAAGGTATCAAGGTATGATATATTACGAATCTATTTATCATATGACAGTACCTATCAAATGAATGAGAAATTAATGTTATTAAACCTGTTGGAATACAACGATATCAATCGCATGCAGATAAGGTAATTGATCGTACGGATTCTTCCCCTGGTTGCCCAGCGCCATCCCCACTAGCGTGCGTTCGTGAGATGCACCACGGCGGCTAGCACGTGCATGCTCTTTCGAAAAATTCACCGGAAGAAGCGTGAGGATATGGATGGAACATTCTAGATGGGCACGTCGAGAAACTACTAGAAGGTTCTGTGCCACATGTGACGCCACACAGACACCCACATAGGTCACACTCATTACTGCATAGAGAGTGGGGCTCTAAACCTTTTCAAGGGCCATGGGTCACTAAGCCAGTCTGTGAATAACTAGCCAACTGTCTACATCCCAGAACGCACATTTATAACTCTTGAAATAATTGTTTAATAAATATCACATTGTATTATTTCAACATAAACATTGTGTCCTCCACAGATTATTAATCTTAATTCCAAGATTAAATTCTAACAAAACCTTTTTCTTTTTTTGTGCGAGGAGGGGAAAATACTGTTACGCATGCTCAGACTGGACTTTGTGGGTCTCGGCCGATGGCGTTGCTATACCCACTAAAATCCCCTCCTCTATCCACTCCTCTTCTCTGCGAGTATCAACCCCGAAACCGTCTTACAGCATTACTTCAGGGTTGGACTTAACTACGCACCACTCCCTAATACTTGGGTCTCATTTCTTTTTCTTACCCCTCTTATTCTCCTCCTCTCTTCAAATTTCTCCTGCGTCATTTTTGCCAGCATGATTTTTCTGCACAAGGCCTGAAACCTTGACGTTCATCTCGATTACCTTGGGGATCCGTTTGCCCGTCAAGAATATCACCTCAGTCATCTCACGAGCAATTCCTAATCCACAATCGGCACACCACCGCGAAATACTCTCATCGCCAGTCCCTTGCTCACGCTGATCATGTCACTCAAACTTGTTCCCCCGTTTCTAGAGAACGTGTAATCTTCGCGCGTCATCCTAATTGGTACAATTCCATTCTTCATTATCATATTCAGGAGGCAAGTTCCCCTGCAGTCATTTACACTGCCATCCCACGCGGTTGCCTTTAAATTGAAGTCACCGGCGATCACCATCGCTGGGACACACGTAAGCGGGGGCCTTCCATTTATCCCCTATACGCTCCTCCACTGTCTTGATCCTTTTATAAAAGACCGAGGCCGGATCTTCTCTTGAACGGATATCGTCTGTAAATATTCTTTTTTGAATCGATATTTCTTGGCCCGGATCTCAACCGTGTAGTAAAGGGGCAAGATGTCCGTAAGCACACACAGTTCTGCGTGGACACTGTGCGATACGCCGTAAATGATCTTACCAGTGCGGCCCTTTGCGCCCTCTTACGAGCATTCCTATTCTTGTTCCTTTCTACCGCTTTTGCCCATACAGACGCCGCATACAGCATCACCGACTCCCAGACTCCATAATAGAGTTTCCTCGCAGAGCCGGTGGGACCGTTCACATTGGACAGCAGCGATCTCAGTGCTCCCATAAGTCAATGTTATTAAACCTAGTTGGGAACGAATGGAAAAATAAATGCAGGGCGAAGCAACATCGAAAATATTAATGACATAGCCGACAGTTTTACAAGTATTACTAAATAATACTATTCAGCAAGTGTATTCAAGAACACGAAATAAATTATTTGGAAACTTAATAAAACATATTGCGTTTATTAAACCTTCCCAGCAACTTTGACGTTTCTTTTTGTTAGTTCTCAAAATATTGTGTTACATGGATGATTTTTTCATTTTATACTTTGTAAATGTTACATACAATATTATATTGTTACGTCTCGCACTACACAAGAAATGTAAAGCGAGATAGAAGAAGAATACGTCATAACTCACGAATAGTATAAATAGAGCCACATAGTATAATAGTATAATAGTAGAATAGTAGAATAGAGCCACAACTATAAGGACATGGAATTAAAAACATAAAATTTAAGGGAAATAAAAGATACGACGCGTACAAAAACTGTAATATCACAATAAAGCGCACAATTGAAGGCACCTACGGGTTTTCGCATTTCTTCTCCCACTGTTAGCAGAAATATTTGCTCATTTTTGGGCAATAGATTTAAACATTAGATTCAACTAGAATCAAACATACGATAAACACTTATTATTCAAGTTATAATACCATATCAGAATAATTTACTTATAATTCTCAATGAGAATGGATTGTAAAATTCTTCCAAATAAAAAAAAAAGATCTTCGGGTAAGACTTGCGAAACGACATTGGTGTCCACAGACAGCATTATTATAGATAACTTATATACATATTAGATATCAAAAGCAAGAAGGAATCGTAGAAATGAAATCCATAACAGTAGGAAACGTGCAGAATGTTAGTTTAAACGTCCAATAGCTACCGAAATTAAAAGTGAAGAAGAGAAAGTTTGAAAAGAATCAGAATTAATCATAGAGTAAACGGAAATCCATTCTTCACCATCAGTGGAAATCTCAATCGCCAGTAGTTTACGTAGAAACGTGGAATTTTATTTACCAGTTGTATTGATACGCTAGTTAACGATGAATTGAAATATCGAGGATACAACGGTTTGAAAATTCAAAGTAATGCCGCGCTTTAGAAGGGTGCGACAAGTTTTTAAAACTATTCCATTCAGTCGTTTGCCTTGTTTAAAAAAAAAAAAATATGGAACGAGAATCGAACTAATCGAAATAGTTTAACGACTATTTCTGGTGGCAGCTACTACCGTTTTGATCTATGTTGAAGTGGTCACTACTTCTAAGAAAACTCTACATCTGGTCTTTTTAGTTTTCTCAAGCACTGAAGCCATCGACAGCGCGTAGACAAAAGACTGCGACGAAGTCAGACCATAAACAGTAGACAGGCGACGTTGGCTTTGTCACGTAATTTTTAGGGTTTGTTGGTGAAAATAAAATATAGTTGAGTCGTAACACAACTATTAACTTTGTTTTAATCAACCTTTATTATGAATTCAGCAATCACAATGTAACACGTACTGAATTAACATAAATCACAATTCACTCCAACCACGTTATGTAAGACATAGTTACAACAATACATTAAGTACGCGACTTATAAGGGTAGAGACCGATATAGATATGTTGACTATTCTAAGGATACAGAATAAGTGAAGTTTTACTGACGCT